AAAAAATTATTTTTTTTGATAGAATTTGATTGTATTATTCAATATAGTTCCCTTCGAGGGTGATACAACGATTATAGCGGTCATACAATTTTTCGATATCATTTTTATAATACGATTTGTCTTTAGCCTCAAAATAGGCTTCAGTTTCGGCAATTACTTGTTCATCGGCGCGAAATTTCTGTCCAGCGAGCATCCTCTTGAGGTCTGAGAACAGAAAAAAGTCGCTGGGGGCCAGATCTGGAGAGTACGGTGGATGTGGAAGCAATTCGAAGCCCAACTCATAGAATTTTGCCATCGATTTCATTGATTTGTGACACGGTGCATTGTTTTGATGTTTTTTTCAAAGTAACAAAAGTAGTTTCACTAAAAATGCTATAACTCAGATACTAATAGTGCAACAGCTGTCAAATCTGTACACGTGTCTTTTGAAGGTTAGGGCTAACTAAAAATCATAAGGATTTGATACTAATAGCGCCTTCTATGGGTCAGCCTACGAACTATTCAGCCCGCCCTTGTATGTATATGAATTGCTTATAACGTCCGCCGCTAAAGTAAACGAATTGCGTCAGTCCTGGGCGTTATAACCGGATTTTATTTGTTTTCTTAGTTCCAAAATTTACTTGAGTTCCCCCTGATGTGTTCCAAGGAAACAATTCCTTTAATAACAAATTTTAATAAGTAGTTGGAAGGCGTTAAATTGTTGATACTAATAATGCGTTCATTTAATACGAGTTTGTTACGTTATTACAAGTAGAAGATTACAGTTTTTGGGTAGTAATATTGTCGGGGTGCCATATGGTGCGTTTTCGCTGAAAACAAATGACTGGGGATGACAACTAGAGCCGACGGTGACGGCTGCTGTGGCGAAATTGATATGCCCACACCGAAACATTTGAATCGTTATGTGGTCACATCCGTGGCGAGCCGCTCCCTAACCAGTTAATTGAAACAGCATCCGAGGGTGTGTTACAAATCGCAAAAAATTGTTAGCAATTGCCAAATTAGAGAAACTGAATGACGCCGAGCCGTTTTTGCATGTTTTATTAATGAGATGGATATAATTGTCCAAGATCCCAGAGCCGCCACACATTACATATTATCTGAGTACCAAAATAGGTAGAACAGAATAGTGCTGGTACGAGGTTTGTTCAAAAAGTATTGCAATGTTTTTTTGTGGCGTGATGTTGGTACTCACGTCTCTCACTTATACCAACAAGTTCGGTCATGTTGAATGCTCAGTTAATTTTTGACAGATGCTTTGCTTGCTCGTCTTCAATTTTTGCCTATTCCAAAAAAATTACCAAAGAATCTGTATCAAATTTTGTGTGAAAAACAAAATTAAGTGCGCGGGCGCATTTCGAATGTTGACTGTGGTATATGGTGAAGCTACCTTGGACCGAAGCAACGTTTATCGGTGGTACAAAATGTTCTCAGAGGGCCGAGAAGATGTGAACGACGAAGAGCGTGGCGGACTCTCGAGCATGTCAGACGAAAACATTGATTAAGTGAAGGAAATAGTATTGGCCAATCGTCGAATCACCGTTAGAGAAGTTGTTGAGAATCTAAACATATCAATTGGCTTCTGCCATTCGATTCTTACCAATGATTTGGGCATGAGACAGGTCGCCAAGAAATTCGTATCAAAATTGCCCCATTTCGACCAAAAACAGCATCGCATTAACATTACTAAGGATTTAAAGGACTCAGTCCGCAAATTTGCTTCGGAAAGTGACTGGTGACGAAACATGGGTTTATGTTTATGACGTGGAAACCAAAGCTCAATTATCGCAATGGAAGCTGCCGCGCGAGCCACGGCCGAAAAAAGCGCGTCATCATGAGTTCTTGTTACAGGGTGGAACGGTCAATAAGGAATATTACCTGCAAATTATGTGCAATTTGCGCGAAGTAATTCGCCAGAAACTCTCGGATTTGTGGAAGAACAAAAATTGGTTTTTTTCACCATGATAACACTCCTGCTCACATACCGTTGCTTGTGCACGAATTTTAGGCCAAAAACAGCACACTAATAATTCCGCAGCCACCGTACTTAGAGGTCATTCTTCAGGCTCCGCCCACTATAAGGACAATCCAGAGGCTGTTAAGAACTTCTTCAGCTGAAGAATGACCTTCAAGGTGTCTTAGAGGTCATTCTTCAGCTGAAGAATGACCTCCAAGGTGTCTTTAGAGGCCATGGTAAGGGACTGAGGATGGACAGGCCATCGAAGTGTCACAGTATACCTATAGCTATACTACTCCCTAGATCTGCCCCCTTGTGACTTTTTCTTATTCTCAAAACTGAAGAGGTCCCTGAAAGGACGATGCTGCGTTACAATTGAGGGTTTAAAGACGGCATCGAAGGAGGAGCTGAACAGGGTCACAAAAATGATTCTTTGAAGTGTTTCGAGNGTGAGCTACGCCGGGATTCGTTTGAGCAAGTAGATATCCATATTTTTAAATGGACCTTGTTGGAACATTCGTAATCCTAAAATGTAGCATCGTACTACAGATGGCGCTCACCACGCCATTTGTGGTATTTTCTCTTCCTCTCTAGTTCACTCTAATATATTCTACCTGCCCTAGGTCGACTATATTCAAACACCATATTTCCCACATTACCAAATTTAACGACATACAAGAAATATTTTTGTATCGTATTAAACGCAGCGAATTTTACACTACGCAAAGTGTGTAGGGGGGTAGACTGTTCAGATATGGTTAAGGATGTAGGAAGCTCTAGTTTTATGCGTAGATTATCTCAGAATAGCAAATATTGGAGATGCGTGCTCAACCAGTCTAAGGACTGATGATCTTATGATGCTGATGACGATGATGAAAATGCCCTGGGTTATGTGAAATTGAATACTTGTGGTTTTTTACGTTACATGGAATTACATCGGTTAATATTTAGGGTGGGCCAGAACCGTCGATGTATGACCTATCTAGATTCATCCCCAGCTACGTCCCTGATTGTAGTGTTCTCGTAAATAATCGTCTGGGTCTTATGGTGTGCAATTGGATTTTCACTTACAGGTTTCATTTGATTTATTTTCTAATTAATTTTGTCGAAAGCAGTTCGATCTGTGCACTTGTAATGGTACAGTCATGCACAAATAAGTTGTGTTATGGAATTTCTATTTTGCTTACAATACTTAGTTACAGTCCTGTTTGACTGAAGGGATGTCTAAAAATTATGCAAAGGTATAATGTAAGAGTATAGGTCGCAGAATTGTCGAAGTAATGTAACATCATTATTATTGTTAATGAATGAATACATTGAATTAACACTACAAAAATTCAAAGTACCTCATTAATATTCGATGAAGATATATTTGGATCATGTGAGATTTGGTGACAATTTGTTGTTAGACCTTTTTCAATCTTTAGAATTCTTAAAAAAATCGGATAGTAATAATGTTATATATTGTGCGCAGGGGCGCAACAACGTTACAATTTGACTGGGTGCTCAAAAATGAGTTAAAAAAAAGGTTATGAATGCATTGTTTTGGAAAAATGGAAAAATTGAGTTCGGCTGAGTTAAGGTCATTTCGACGAGGTTGAACTTTTGAACCGAACTTTCAAGTTAGTGGATGCCCGGGCACCCGCGGATCCCCCCTTGTTGCGCCCCTGATTGTGGGTATAGATAGTCTTGATAAAAGGTAGTTTGATGCACAATGGAAGTGTAGTTTTCAGAGTAGATACAAAAATTTCTTAAGTCGAATTACTTCTACATGCCTGTACCATACATTTATTCGTTTTGATGATAATTGTCAAAGATTATTAAAAATTAAATTCGTTTCTTCATAATATACATAAGAAAGACAGAAGTAAACTAAATAAGTAAAACACAACTTTATAACAAATTTCAAGTCTGTGTTTGTGTATATCCATTACTGTTTGTATAGAGGTAGGTAGTATTAGAAAAATTGATTGTGTTGAAGATATCATAAGCATATATAAATCTTAATAGCATAATCTTTGAAAAGTTTAATTGGAATTTTGTGTCTCTAAAGGTTATATGTAAGTCACAAGTAATTTTGTTTATAATAAAATTTTGGGTAGAGATAGAGTGGACATACGAATACCATTTGGCTAATGTGCCACAATTATTATTTGAAAGGGTGGCACATTGTCCCATGATAGTTGTAAGTCCTATGTTAATCCTAATTATTGATCATCTTCCCATGTTTTCGAAAAGAAATTTCTTTTAATTTCATAAAATTGTCCAACAACACTTACATCATGGTTAATATTCGGTATTTCAAAAGATAATGCGAAAATAACAAATCGTTACTTACCTAAAGATGAAAATAAACAATATAAGCAAAGAAAAGAAAATTGCTACGTTGTCCATTGTTCGTAGCATAACGAATAATTGTCTTCTCAAGTTAGGCATAAATCTCACAAGTTTCAAAATCCTTAACAAACGAAAAGTTCGTAACACTGATAAGCCTGAGTCTCCGTGGGAGTCGCCCCAAAACTTCTGACACAGTTCGACCACACTGAAAGCAAGTAACAGTCAAGTAGAAATGTCATTCAGATAATATAGGGAATACCCGAAATGTGTAGTCACCTTTTTTGTCTATTTAGAACTAACGAAACTTTATTTATTGATATTAGTTACCAAGTTTTCCTTCGATATCCTTATAAATTCATATCAAAAACTAATAAGGGTCAAGGTCGCATCCAAATTAAATAAAGAAATCTAGGGAATTTCAAATTTTGAAAAACAATAATCATAAATTACCATACATAGCAGTGAAACCTACGAATTTTTACTTGGTGAGGGGGGGGGGGTAGATGAAGGAAGAAACATAATATTTAAGTATGTAAGCTAAATTTTGTTTAATAAATCAATCTCATGATAAGGGCTAAGTAGATATTTCAATCTGATATATATTAACGTATTTATGAGCTATGGATTGTGAAGCTATTTAATAAGCCTAAGGCCCTGATAGTTCATGGAAGTTGTCACGTGAACTTTTAGATAGAATAATTAAAATTTACAAGCATAACTATTAAACAAGTTTTTTTTACAAATCTAAATTTATTTACTGCTTGTTTAGCATCTGCGACATAATTTGTGATGTTGAAGATGAGTTTAGCTTTATAAATGGCCTCATCATCATCGTTAAGATTTTGAAACGTCCTAACCTCAAAACCAAAAACATGCATTTTTCGACCTATTTACGTAAATAAAAAATCAAAGAAAAAGCAATCTCCAATGCTCTTTTTGTTATCGAATTCCAATCTAACCTTAGAACTTTCTCTGCTCGTCAATATGATCTTGAAATATCTTAATTTCAAAATCCAAATGATGCTATTTCGGCTTTTGTGGTTTCACAATAATGATGTCATGAAATTTCAATATGCATGAGAAATTCTGGAGTCAAATTTGAGTTCAACATCGAAAAATACAAAAAAAAAGGTACATTAAAAATTACCGAATGGATTGAAACAAAATGGACGTTTAACTCGAATCTGATGCCAAAATCTGAAAATCATAAAACCTATCCAAGCATTGCCAGATTTTTGAGTTTAAATGTTACTGATAAGAACTTCGTTGATGAAAGATTACTACTCTCTTCGATGTTTTTTATTGTAGAGATCATAAAGAGACTTAAAATTTAATCCTTTAATTGTTGAGGTTGAGGCATCTCTAAATTCTGGCGCACCTATTAAGGCAGTTTCCTAGACGAGATTCGAATCAGTGCTTCAAATTACTGTTAAAATGACCTGTCAATTCTTCCGTGTAGATCAACGTTATTGATTCCCGCGTTAGGATGATAATCCAAAAGTTTTATTAATTTTGGTACTCTTTGATAAACAACTGTAATGGTTAAGCATTACTAATTGATATAGTTAAAGCCTCTGCTGATACTAAGTTAACTTCTAGCTAATTATTGTCATTAACACCCTTTAGTTAACAATAAATAAATTGAGTTAACACTTGACGCGTGTTGTACTGACTTACCTTAAAATAACAATAACTCCATCGAAAACGTTGAAACCATTAGAAATATATTTGAACGGTCCTTCCGAGAGGACCTTAAGCACCATTTCAACAGCAAAAATTGCAGAAAACACAACGTTACTAGTCTCTACTATCGCAGTCAATTCCTCAGGTTGTTTGTGGTATTCAATTCCCATCGAAAGCGTATTTATCAAGATGGCCAGTAGAATTCCCTGTTGAAAATATTTGTGCTCCACCAACAGCCTGATGTACCTTCTCGTGCACCGGATACTCCTAAATATACCCTTTACTACTGTGCAAACAATAACGTAAAGTCTTGACCTGAAACACAACAGAACCGTTCTTAAAAAAAAATATTTGTATGAGTTTGAACGTGTGGAAACTTTTGAAATTTTCAAATACAGTAGGACCTTGATAACTTGAATCTCGATAACGTAATAACCTCTATAAATTCATAAAATTTTGTGTTTTATTCCCCTCGGAGTCCAAAACCTCTATTACTTAAAATAAAAACCGTCTATAACTTCAACGAATAATTTGGGCATCGCACCTCAGTAAGCAGTGAAAAGTAGTTTGAATCGCGAGAAAGTCTTTTATGTAAAAGACAAAGAATTGCTGAATTTCCTAATTTAGAAAAATGCTTGTTTACAGGGTTTAGACAGTGAAGAGATATGTAAAAACATTAGTCTTAGTGGACCTATTGGGATCCGTCAAATGGGAGGAGCCTAAAAACATGGCGCCGATTAGGGAAAATTTATCGTAGTTCCTATAGTGTACCGTGCAATTTCCAAGTTTTTAAATTACGATAAAATGATAAGTATTGACACAATATGTGATTGGGCTGACACAAAGCCTCGGAAAGGAAATTTCGTGAGGTGAGCGTGTTTTTAATGCCAATCACATTATAAAATTCGGAAATAACAAAT